ACGGGTTAAGTTCTAGGTAGGTTCTTATACATGGGGAGCTTTTTGTAATCATAACATTCTATAGAAACTATATCGAGTAAATGACAACGTTAATTACTAAGATAACCCTGTATAATGCAGTTCTAACATACTACTAAGTTTTCACTGGATCTTTTTCACATCTGACTTTTGTGTTTATCGATGAAAAGGGCCTTTAGATTAATCTTTTACCTAGTTTATTTATTAGGGGACAAAAAACAGTTGCCATATAAAAATGTTACATAAAAAGTCTTACACTAAACAGCAGCTACGGTAAATATGTAACCCACATCGTTGCCCACATTATTATCTTATGTATAAAGAAAACTTAATGAAAATTCTTCGTGAATACTTTGTTAGTGTTTACAATCTTACAGGTACCTAAGAAGTGTGAAAGATTAAACAACTTTCTTGTTTTATCTCTTAATCAAACGATTTTAGAGACCATAAACCGACAATTTACAGTTAGGTTTAAGACGCATACGTGAAATTTTAATTAATAAAGATAGTAGGAGTGAAATGCAACTTGTTTAGCTACATGATCACGAAAGTGGGTCACTAAAGAGTCAAGTATCGAGTTTCTTATCTGTATAAGTCTAAACAACTTTGAATAAATGGCGACGATTCGTACTACGTTTAATTAATCAATGTGCGTCTTACTGATCGCACTGGATGATCGAGTGATTGCGTGCGCGCTTGTTCTTTTTTGTTGCTTTCCTACATCCTAAAACGTATCAATCATATCTGTTTTTGACTATGGATCAAATTTGGATAGCTTCACTATTTGGTGCGTACTTTTGTAGAATTTTGACTGTCAATCATTCGGCCTCCTTCTCTGTGACACCTATTTATTATAGCGCATACTAAGTACCTATATTATCAATTCAAAATACAAATACACACACACATCAAATGCTAAGTACATTGCAATCTATTCTAAAGCATTTTTCAATAAGTGAATGAATTTCGCATATAACAAATTTTTTCTTATACATTTGGTATGTTGCAGCTTTCGCATATATTTTTAGTTCATTTTCACATTGCATTCTTTTTCACATATCAGTAGTGGAAGTCTTGACAGCTACAATCGTACAATGAACTTACAATTTACACAAGACAATACAGAAATAGATAGGTACCATAAAATCCATTTACAAGAGCTTTTTAATCGCCAACGGTCGTAATATGAGAGTCATTGTCCTGCCCACTGGTGTGTAACCCACCTCGACTGGACCTGAATCGTGTTTGTTTTTGCATTATTATAAAATTCCTACCACAACCTTTTTGTTGTCTTAAATTATTGTTTTGTGCACTGTCCATTGCTTGTACAGTTTAGCCGGTGAGAAATGTCAAAACTCTTCTATCGAGTATTGTATATTGATGTGAGAATCTAGTCATTCGTTGTTTGATTTTTAAAAATGTTATTAACTGCTCAATTTTATTTTTTGTTTAAAAAGTAATTTGTCGGTTCCAATTAAACTCAAATAAATTAATTTAGCTTGTAGCTATGAATGAAATTCTTTATATGTTCGATACCTAATCATTTACCGTTTTGATGAATTAATCAAATTTGTTTTATGAATTTCATATTTCAAAATCAAGTTCAGTGCACCTATTAACCTGACTATAAACATATCGTAATAGATATGTGATTCAACGAAACTTTTTTTGTACTTTTCGCAATAGCGGACCCTTTCTCCATTTTGGCTAGACTGACATCATTCTGAGCTCATTTTAGATATTTTTGCATTAGCACATGCAATCCTGGTCTTTTATACCTCAACCTTTCCCGGAATTAGTGGCCCTACCCTGCCGATGATATCATGTTCAAGAGTTTCGATTTTAATAAAAACTTTGCGTGCAAAAAGTTACTTTTTGCGGTCTGATGACTAACAGTGATGGGTAATGAGATAAGAATGTAATCACGAGAAGTTTAAGCAAATTGGTACTTTTGGATTATTTTGTAAGGTATTTTAATAATGAATACCTTACTTGGTTATTATTTCTTGACGAAGGTATTAATGGGTAAGGTAATGTGTTTACGCATTCTCGTTAACCTAAGCCAAACTTTTATGATTAAATTATTATGTTTTCGGCTTACTCACGTAATTATTTGACGAGGAACTTTTCTAGGTACAAGCCATGCTAAAGTAGCAGCGCGACAGTCGCCGCGTCACAGGTCGCGAAATGCTGCTCATGAATATGAGCCTCTAGCATGGCTTGAAACTAGTTGAGTTCCTCGTCAAATAATTACGTGAGTAAGCCGAAAACATAACAATTTATTTAGTATGTCTCAAGAAAGTTATAATACTTAGAAACTTTTGTGCTTGGAGATTTGTTAAAAAACATTTATTATTTTGTCCAGAATGCTGACCAGTGGGCGAATCCCTTATAAGTAAGAGTACAGTTATGGCAATTGAACTATTGAACGCTGTAAACGATCCGCACTGGTTCAAAGGGTTCTATAAAACAATAACACTTTATGGCAATTCTTTAGTGCAGATTGCAAATTTTATGGTTGTTATTAGTGTTCATTACAGAATACAGTTACATTCATAGACCAATGACTCGGGCTATAAATCAATGAATAATTAAAGGATAATTTAACGCAAATTAATTTGAAAGATATAAAATCTACCAGGAATTTATAGTCTGATTCACGTTTCTGAAGATAGTTTACATATATTATTTGTGTCTATGTCTTCTCAAGTGTTCATCGCAGTTTTACTTACGTTATTCTATCATCCCTATCGGACCAAAGAGTCGAATATGACCTTTTTTAAGTCGAGTAGTCAAATGAGTCGTCATGCTCTGGGTTGAAGCAAAAATAAAGTTGGAACACCAGAGGCGTTACAAGGGCATTACTGGCCTTTTTTGGGATTAGGAATTTGGGGAATTTGAGGATTTTTGGGGTTCAGGAATTGAGGAGATTGTGGGGGCGGGGTAATTTGGCCTTCGGTAACCTCACTCACATGTTGAAAACACAACGCAAACGTTGTTTCACGTCGGTTTTCTGTGAGGCCGTTAGTATACTTCGGCCGAGCCAGCCCAATTGTGCCGAAGCATGGCTCTTACGTACTCTTCTTTATCTAAATAAAAAGATTTTGGGAAGAAAGCCAGTTTTAGAGTTTAGCAACACATTTCACGAATAATTTCTATCTGTAACAAAGATCTACATAATTTAAAGATGCATAACTATATGACCATTAAACCAGATGCGAAAAGCCAGTTACTTCTTCGTCCGGTCTAGTAGCAACAGCATTCCTGTCCATACCTGCTATCAAGTTCTTTTGATTACATCCTCTTTACTTGTTTTATTAACTTGTTACTTCGGAACAGTAAATTAACCGACAAATAATAATTAATGTTAACGAAAGGTTTTATTAACCATTGCCCTTAGTAGTTTAATTTCTAGGAGTATTATAGTTTTTTAAAACCATTTAGTCTGTTAGTCTAGTAGTTGTCGAGGCGAGTAGTCATTAGATACAAATCGGATTAGTTAATCTATGTCGTATGTTTATTGTTTGTCAAGTTGAAGATTTATCAAAAGTAGGGAATATTTCTTCAATTATAAGTATAAAAAAATATTTAACTACAAAATTCTTTAGGTATCTGTAAAAAAACAACAGTAACTACTACCTGACTATGTGTAATTTTTCAAACTTCCTTCATACGGTTACCCTTTGAGTTTTTTTTTAATATTAATTACCAAACCGACCTACTGTTTTATTTAACAACGAGAAGCTACTATAAAATCGTTTACCGGTACATTAATTTATATGAACTTAAAGTTAACAAACAAGATACTGTTTTTTTATTTAAACCGTAAACGTGACTGACGCGTTAAGTTTTTCGGTAACCATAGATTAATTAATCAATAGTTCAATTAGATTATTCAATTGCACTAGAAGATAAAATATTATTTACGATGTAATTGTATAAAAGGTGAATATTACGGTACTGGGAGTTTAAGACTAATTGAAATGAACTTTAATGTTAAATGATAAAAGGGTTCAAATTGCTTTGACTTTGAAATATCTATAGATTTCTTTACTCTACGAAATGAACATGGAATTATATACATGTGCCTCTAGATTTACAATACATAGCAATTTCACCGTATGGTATCGTGTTACTTACTTATGTGTCATTGTTCTAGGAAACTAGTTTTTCCTATTTATTTACTGAGTTTTTTAATATATGTATAAGGCAACAGAAACGCCCCTTATTGCTTAGGTACCTACCTATTTTTTTTTAACTAAATATGAGCCTGTACTTAGTTCTTAGCTATACTTAGTATGGGGCGTTAAATAACTGGCAAAACTTTAAATCAATATGTATATAGATAAATACTTTCTGTAATTAAGGTGATTTTATATTTCTGTATAAAAAGTATAATAAAAACTATAATTCGGGCATTATAGCATTACTGCCCTTTTGAGGTATGTAGGTAAATATCACGCGATTACTTAAAAACGTGTTAAAATATTCAATTCTGTTTCTGTTTTTTCGCTACAGCTTCTAATTAAAAAAAAACAAACGATATGGGGTCACGATTGCGGAAAAGGATCATCTTGCCACGATTTGATCCACACCTAGCATCGACGTGACTTGATTATGACCAACTTTGTTAATATTTTATAATTAGCGTCGTGAACTTTTTGTTCTATTACTTGTTTTATTCGATACAAGAAGTTTTTATGTTTTTTTTTCAATATGACTCATAGTTAAGTGTTCATTAAACCTAATAACAAAAAGTAACATGTATAACAATTTAAATTGAAATTTTATGATCCTATACTTTCTGCGAGTACTTAGATTATATCGCGACGATTTTATAGCCTATTAAAATAAAATAGGTTTCATTGTTATGCTGTTAAAAGAGCATTACTCTATAACTCTATATTGATACGATAATTGATGTCAATCACTTTAACGATTCATAATTATGTTTTTTTTTATATAAAAAAGTCGAAACTTACCAATTACAACACAGTACACCACACAAAGAATTATCAAAGATTTGTACATGTTTGTTAAGTTTATTTTCCAACAATATATTCAAAATTCGCGGTAAATGTCGTGTGAGCACAAACGACGGGTTGCGCGTGCGACTGTGGGCCGGCAAGTGATGCGCGCGCGCTCACATAACCGGATTAAAAGGACTAGGACTTGCACACACTGCCATCAGCAACTAGTGCAAAACTTGCACTACTTCAAACACCAGATAAGCGTACGAACCTGTACGAGTGCACCATTGTTCATGAGAAAGTTTAAGTTCTGTTACTTTCTCGTGTACTTCGAAAATGGAGTTTCATGTTTTCACAATACATTCTTAAATGAGTTACCTACATAGCTATTAATAAACCTCTATTTACATAAAATACTTAAACAATACAATAATCATTTTCTGTCGAAATATTTCTACAGATTTCCAAGCAATTTCTTACGAAAATCAGAACATTAGTTGCGTGTATAAATATATGCACTACGACAATGGCAATTAAAGAATTTGCCCCGACTAATCTATCGCCTACCAGTAGATAGCTGACAGGTCGGTGACCCCAAAGCTTGACCGTCGATAGATTAGAACATCTTAATAGTGAATCTGACAGATTTAGTGCAATTATTAGCTGACGTTTTTTACATGAACATTATTAGGTGGGTTTATTATGCTTCTGCTTATGTAGGTACCAATTTGGACATATCGTAGACGTTTAGCACAGTGATGTTATATTTTTCTCCTAAAATAATATAATATTAATAATAGCATTGCCATACAACGTGGCAATGCTGCTAGCCTTCGAGGTACTTTCCCCACTGACGCCGATGCGGACGAATTTTTCGTTGCTTTATGTAAATAGTTGTTTTTAGTTTTATTTTAATACATTTTTATCTTAAGTTGTATACATTTAATTTAGTAATATTTAGTATTAATTTTATTTAAGTTTTTATTGAAATATATATTATTTATAGGCTAAAAAAAATATAAGCGTCTCTATTAAGAGAGACACCAAAGGAAACAAGACCCTGGTTACCCAATCCTCGACACAAATAAGAGATTTCTAACTAGAATCTCCAATCCCTGAGTCCTATGCACTTCTAAAGCCTCTGGTGTTTTGGGTGTTAATGGGCAGCGCTGAATTCCTATCATCAAGAAATTCGTCTGCTCGTTTACCGGCTTGTCCCATAAAAACGATCATAGAAAAGTATCAGTTAAGAGGCGTATTTTTTTTCAGGGTTACTGAAATATCATTCGTTAAGCACATATTGCACATTATTTCCAGTTATCTAAGTTCAGATAATAATTATGCACACAGCAATACCTTTTACGACTACTATGATCTTAGATGGGACATTTTAATCACTTATTTGTTATGGTTGCATATTTTATCTTGGATAAATAACATTACGACTCTGGGAATTTTGTATCGACAAAACGTGAAGTGACTCAAAAAACATACTAACATACCTACGCCTTATTTGTTCCTTATATATTTATATATTACTTATCTTGTTTGGCTACATTTGTAAACTATTTTCTTAGTCATTTTAATATTTGCTGCAGCAGGCATAAAATTACTTTAGTAAGTATAGGGATTTAACTTATAAAGAATATTGCCAAATTAATAACATTTTACGTCCGTATATAAAATAATTATGTAGTACAAAAAAGCGGAAAGGAATTCTGCGATAAGGCATTTAATAAAATACTAAGCATAGCGAGTTCACGTTCAATATGTAGTCACTTATAGCTGCGAAGGAAATAAAATATTTAACGGCTTTTCACTTATTCGAATAAAATTTTAAGTGTGGGAGAGACATGCTTTCGTACAAATAGGTTGGCTCGACCGGAGTGATACCACGGCCTCACAGAAAACCGACGTGAAACAATGTTTGCGTTGTTTCGTCGTGTTAGTGAGGTTACCAGAGGACCAATTACCGATTACTCCTCAATCTCCCCAATCCCCGAACCCCACACAATCCTTAAATTCCCAATACCCAGAAGGCCGGTAAGGGTACGGCATCAGGTGATTGATGCTGCTCGTTTACCGGCTTACCCGTAAAAAATGCCCCTATTAATTGTAGACACTGTTTTTCACAATCATCGTCATCGTCAGGTATAATCAACATTTGGAATATTCTTGATAGACCACTCGGTGCATGATCGCAGTTAGGTGATGCAAAATTTACCTAGAGGATACTGCTGCTTAGGATGCAGTCTGGTGGTTTCGAGATGACTTATCGAGTTCCTAGCAAAGTTGAGCATTTTCTATTTCGTTGCAAACAATAAAGTACTTTTGTTCTACCTTGTACCTACTGTTAGAGGGCTTCGGAAAATTTAGCGCGTTGCCGAGGTTCCAGCTCGAAGTGCAGGAGTAGGAACGGGGTGGTTTTTAGTCAGTAAGAGTCTGACACTTCCTCTCGCCTAACTCAAGGCAGGAGAAGTCATTGGATGATCCCCCCGCCTCCTTAAAAAGTACTGTGGTATGGTATAGAAACATTCTATGTTTGTACAATTACCTACACTGTTTGATTCGATATTTAAGTCTCTTGGTCATGGTATTGTAGCAGCGTCATCATTCTCGTGCAACTAGAGTTTATACCACTTGTCAAGGAAAGGCATGATATTTAGTAAACATGACAAAAAAGTAGATACTACGCAACTGCTTTCTGCGTAATATTTTTCGCAGACGTTGTTATTAATAGCGAGTCACAATTGTGAGGTTATCACGGGTCGCCGCGGAGTCGGTGTTGACAAAGAATCTCAGTACCTACTATGTGGGTGGCCTAGAATCAGGACCTCATTGTTTCGGTAATGTGTAAAAACTAAAAATGACTGTGTACTTCATAAAGAATCAATCAGCAGTTATTTTCAGTCAGGTAGCAACCTAATCATCATCATCATTTCGATTTTTTATTAATAGGTAGGTATTTTCCAATATTTTTTTAAATATTTTGTTATATTCGTAGAACCATCTTTTGCTTATATAAAGTTTCGAATAAACAAATAACAAACGGAAACCTGAGGTCACGGCTTCGAATCTCGAATGAAATGAGTCATTTGTTTTTGCGAAATTGGCTACCTATAGTACCTACCTATACGCAAAATGCAAGCACTTACTTGCAATGACATGAATGAGTAAATAAAAATAACTAATTAAAAATTTGTTGAATCCTGTCTAAAATAAAGTAATCACATAGAAGCGAAAATCATTTTATTGCTCAGCGCTTTAAGCGCTTAGATATAAATCTTTTCACATAGCAACATTTCCAGTTAGGGTACGATTAAATACAAGTACGATTCAATAAACCTTTAGGGCCTGTACAGACGGGGGCCTTTTGTCCAATCGACTGGACTATCAGTTGACTCTTGCGAAGTATATTAGTAATGTCAAATGTATCCTCCGTCACCACATCATCATCACCAGCTTGTAAACAGTCCATTGCTGGACTACGGGAAGGTTACTAATAAAGTTTGCCATCAACACCGTTTATTAAATTGCTTTTGTACTATACCAATGTTAGTAAGTAACAAATTGCCTCTTTTGCCACCGTCGTCATGGTATAAAAATAGTAAAAGTGCCAGTAGAGAACATTATCCTCTAATTATTATTTAATTTTATTAGTGATGTATATTGATATTTTTTTTGTTTTGTTTTTTTGTGTGATTGTGCGATCCACAAATTGTTGTTTCGGGTCTGGGTGTCATGTGTATGTGAACTTGTATGTTTGTAAACGCACCCACGACACAGGAGATAATACTAGCGAGGGGCAAAGTTTTTTTTAAAAAAAATAAACTCCTAGATACAGGTGTTCAAAGTTCTTTTCGTAATTATCTTAGCGAACAAAAGTTCTTCGTCTACGCAGACCGTTTACATTCACCGGACTGGCCTGAAAGTGACGTGAAAGTTTCCAACACAGACAAGGCTACATAACTAAGCTTTCTGCCGAACCATAAAGCAATACATTTAAACATGAGTGCACAATATAGAGCTACACTTTATGAGTTATTAGTGAAAAGGTTTATATGAGGAAACTGAGTATTTACAATGGAAGATTATTACTATGAAAGTAACTGTTGCATGTTGCGATGTCGTTTGTGTTTAACTTTATAGTTGCTTTAAGAGAACTGTTTTTTGTGGAATCTTCCAAACCTTCAAGAAATTCATTCCTTTTTAAAAGGCCGGCAACGCATCGCTGTGGGCAGCGCTGATCGCTTACCATCAGGTGATCCGTCTGCGCATTTGCCTCCTTTTCAATAAACAAAAAAACTTCTGGGCGATTAGGTCAGGCAAAACGGTATTTAATGTGTGTGTAATTATAATAATATAAAACTAATAAATAAAATCAAAATGCCTTTCAATTTTTGACAATTAATCCATATTTATTTTTATTCTACAGGAATATAGAGTAACGAATGGAGTTTCTTGCTCGTTCTTCTCCATTCGAATCTACATTTTGGAATGAGCACTTCACCTAGTTTCACAAGAATTAACCGATGATTGAAAAATCTTAATACATTAAGCGTTTTCTACTAGTCGACCTAGGTGGTAAAACATAACATGGTTGGAGACAACTCAGGTGCATAAGTTTTCGCGTAACTACTGCGAGGATTCTGTCGAGACTACTAGCTATATTCACGTCCATGTTGCGCAACATTCTGCAGACCTCTTTTTGTCGAATGCGAATGTCCATTGTGTTAGTCTCGCATGCTCGGTGTAGAGAAGGAGACAGATACGATCGACATGATCGACCGACATGACCGACCGACAGACGCGATCGACATGATAAATACCTCAGATACAACAGATACGACAAACACGACAGATACGACCGACACAACCGACACGACAGATAGCGAACGACACGACAAACGTGATCGATACGACCGACACAACAGATATGACCGACACTACAAATACTACAAATGTGATCGATACGACAAACACGACCCACACGACAAATATGACACACACGACAAACGCGATGGACACGCGAATACGACTGACACGACAAGTACGACCGACACGACAAGTACGACCGACACGACAGATACGACCGGCACGACACATACGACAAATACGATCGAAACGACAAATACGACAAATACGACCGACACGACAAATACGACGAACACGACCGTCACGACA